CGCCTTGGCCGGGCCCCTGGGTGTTCGCACGGCCCGTGAGCCTCACCCCAGAGGGGCCCCAGCCCTGCCCCACCTCCGGCCCCCACCCTCACCCCGGCCCCGCCTCCAGCAGAGCCCCACCCCTGTGCCCCGCCCCTGCCCCGCCCTCGCCCCACCCCTCCCCCTCCCTCTCCCTCGCTCAGCCCCGCCCCCTGCCGCCATCCTGGCCCCAGCCCTACCCCCCCCGGCCCCCGCCCCGCCCCTGCTCGGCCTCAGCCCCTGGCCCCCACCCCTAGACAAGCCCCCACCCGGCCCCCGCCCAGCCCCCACCTGGCTCCGGCCCCTACCTGGCCCAGCCCCCGGCCCTGCCCCCAGCCCTGTCAGATCCTTGCACCAGCCCAGAGCCTGGCCAGACACTGCTTGGCTCCAGTCCCAGGTTCTTCGTCTAGCCCAGGGGGGCCGGCGGCACGCGAGCGGATTTTCAGTGGCACTCGCATTGCCCGGGTCCTGGCCACCGCTCCGGGGGACTCTGCATTTTAATTTAATTTTAAATGAAGCTTCTTAAACATTTTAAAAACCTTATTTACTTGACATACAATAGTTTAGTTCTATAATCTAGACGTAGACCGAGCCCTTCTAAAAACGTTAACCTGTACGACCAGCTTGCGAAACCTTAAACCCGAGTGAGTAAATGCAGACTCGGCCCAGCACTTCAGAAAGGCGGCCGAGCCCTGGGCAAGTCTCTGCTTGGTCCTTTGTCCCGCTGGTCTCAGCTGCCCCGGTGCTCAGACCTGCGCCCCAGTCCTCAAATCCGCCTTAATCCCAATCCCCCTCCCGTCTCAGCCAGCCCAGAACCCCCCCCATTCCCCAGTCCCTAGATGAGCCATTCACATTGTCCGCCCCCCACCTCCTAGAACTGCCCCAGGCCGCGCTGGGTTACGAGGGTTTTAGCCGGGGTCCCTCCCCAGTCTTCATCTTTCTCCTTCTCCGTGCGAAAAACCACCCAGGCAGCATGTGCCGAGATCCGGCTCGCGACATGAGCTAGATTTAACAGGACGGCGCCGAGCTGCAGCCACCTCTGGGGCAGGGCAGCCGGAGAACAGCTGCATCTCTGCGCTGGGTGAGCCGTACCTGTGCGGCGTTATGTGCGGCTGTTCCCCAGCTGCCCCGCCCCAGAAGTGGCTGCATGTCAGCATCGAGCGAGCCTTCCGCTAACCCCGTTTGTCTCCGTTCCAGGCCACCAGGACACCACGCCCACCGAGATAAGATGGATGGTTACTGCATGTTCAACCACCTGGCCATTGGGGCCAGATACGCCCGGCAAAAACTGGGAGTGGAACGGTGAGGGACTGGTGGTTAGAGCAGGGGGGGCCTAGAGCCAGGGTGTCCATGGCCCGGGGCGGCTGGTGCTGAGTCCCACTAATGAGCAACCCCCATCACGAGAGTCTCGTTTCCTTCCAGAGTCCTGATCGTCGACTGGGACGTTCACCATGGGCAGGGCACCCAGTTCCTCTTCGAGGAGGATCCCAGGTCGGTCCCAGGCGCTTGGAGCCAGGGGAACCCAGGGCTGGGCTAGCAGGGGCTGCGGGTCGGGAGTGAGGGGCACCAGTCACTGCCCCCCGTCTGCCCCCTCTCTCTGCAGCGTTCTCTATTTCTCCGTCCATCGCTACGAGCAGGGGAGGTTCTGGCCCCACCTTCCGGCTTCCGACAGCCCCGCCGTGGGGCAGGGCCGCGGAGAGGGATTCAACATTAACGTGCCGTGGAACGCGGTAAGTGCCCTGCCCGGGGCGGGGGCTGCGTGGGGGGCAAGCCGTCCCTGGGCGGCGTTATGTGCAGCCGTTCCCCAGCTGCCCCACCCCAGAAGTGGCTGCATTTGACCTCCCACAGACCCATCTAACTGGTCTGCGTCTCTCCATCTAGGTGGGAATGAGGGACGGGGATTATCTCGCTGCCTTTTTACACGTCTTACTGCCAGTGGCCTTTGAGGTACGTGGGGGCAGGAAAGGGGCAGGAGCCTGTCCCCTCTGGGGGATGCCGGCTCCCACCCGGCCCCAGGGCAGGGACTGGTTGGCTCAGGGGGGCGGGGAATGGGGTACGGGGTCTGTCCCCTCTAGGGGGCGCCGGCTCCCATCTGCCCCAAGGCAGGGGGCTGACTCAGGGGGTGGGAATGGGGTGGGCCCCGTCCCCTCTGGGGGGCGCTGGCCGCGATCCGGGGCGTGCTGGGTCCGGGCTGCGATCTCCTCTGTTCTCTTCTCAGTTCCAACCCCACCTGGTTCTAGTGGCCGCCGGGTTCGACTCTGTGCTCGGGGACCCCAAGGTAAGTGCCCCCCCAATCCGCCGTGTTTCGCAGCGCTGCCCACAGGGGGCGCCCCAGGGGCTAGGCAGGGGGCCTGGGGCTCGTTTCAAAGGGCAGCGGCCGGTCTAGGGGGCGGGGAGGGAGCCTGGCAAACTGACCTTTGCGTCTGCGCCTAGGGCGAGATGGCTGCGTCGGCCGCGTGCTTCGCGCACCTGACTCATCTGCTCATGGCCCTGGCGGGAGGCAAGGTGCTGCTGTCTTTGGAGGTGAGTGTGGAGCTGACCCACGGCGCAGGCTCCCCCCTAGAACTGACTGCAGCTCAGCCCCGGGCGGCGTTATATGTGGCTGTTCCCCAGCCACCCCGCCCCAGAGGTGGCTGCAGCTCAGGGCTGTGGGTGGTGTTGACCCGTTTTCCCCCCCTCCCCAGGGTGGCTACAATCTGACCTCCCTGGGCGAGGGGGTCTGTGCGGCCCTGAGGACCCTCCTGGGGGACCCCTGTCCCCAGCTGGAGCCGCCTGTTGCCCCCTGTCGCAGGTGAGCGGGGTCCGAGCGGGTGGGGGTGGGGCGCCCCCATGTTTGCACCCCACTGACTCCGGGCTGCTCCCCTTCCCCAGCGCTCTGAGCTCCGTGTCCAGGACGCTCGCGATCCACGAGAAATACTGGCGGAGCCTGCGGAGAGGGGGTGAGTCCCGGCCCCCGGGGGGCCCCCTGCTCGCCCCCAGCCCCTCCAGGGTCCCTCAGCTCCTCTGAGATGCCCCATCCCAGCCCCTCTGGGGTACCTTCTCCTGCCCCCACAACCTCTTTGGGGGTCCCCTGGCCCCCCAGCTTCCGACTCCACAGCCAGGAGCCCCACAACCCCATCCCCCTGCTATACCCAGCCCTCAAACTCCCACTGGGCCCCCTGATTTGATATCACCCCCCATAGCTCAGGGGATTGGCTCTGATCTCTTCCCTCCCCCCCCCCCCCCCCCC